CGCAATGCGGGCGTAAATTACGCGGAAGATAATTCTCTAGGCTCAGGGATTCTGGTACTCGATTTTTTTTCATCCCCCAATACCGACCCCCGACTATCCTCACACTTTTTGCAACCTCGTACGCGTAATGGAGAATCGACCCGCTAAGTGGAAGCTTAAAAAAAAACTATTAGCAGCGTATAAATAACAATAATCGTCATGACTTAACCGGAAGTTATTATTGCTTACCAGTATCTACTTTTTTATAATTTTTTTTTCTCCTTTCTTTTCAAGCTTTTCTTCGCCCTCGCCATCCCTCTGGACGATCCGGTATCTACGAAGTCCGTCTCCATAGCCTTTTTCTTCGAGGCCAACTACGAGTTGCCGAATAATGTGACGGATTTCCTTCCAGGCTACGAAGGCATCGATGCCTCTGGAAGAAGAAGAAAAAGAAGCATCGATAGGACGACAGCCTATGCTATATTAGAATCAAAATTTGAATCGTGAGCATATTTTTTTTTTTTTTTTTTATATGAAACAAAACAACCTGTACAGCCATCTGATATACAAAGTTTATGAATAAAGGTAGAAACAGCGAGGTCATATGGAAATTTATATGGATGGATGATGTATAGAATAAATGGGGATCTAGGTTGGTTCACTGTGTGAGGGCACCCTTAACATTCGAGAGTATGCAAATCCACTTAGCTACCACAGTGGATTCGAATGCTCGCCACAGAGAATGTCACGCAAACGGGACAAGCCCGTTAGGTGGATGGAGATTGCTAGTCGACCTTATTTCCTACCCAAACCAGGATAACCAAGATAACCAGAATAACCAGAAGGAACTCCTATCTTTCCAATACGGACGCGAAGTCATAGGATGTAAACTGAGGTTTCCTGACACATCATAAAGAAAACAAGAAAGAAATACAAATATTTCTAACACATAAACCGGTTCGTTCAGATAATTTATGTCCAAGAGTAAAAAAATCAAAATTTTTATAAAATATCGATACGGTCCAAAATTTAATGACAAAAAGTGTTTCAGAGAACTGGTAAACATTTTTTTATAAAATTTGCAAGAAAAATATAACAATTATAATCGTCCATTGTATAAACCAATTGTGTAAAGTAATAAACTAAAAAACTTTTTTTTTTCTTTAACACGGAGTACTTCTGTTTCACGGTTATAATTGTCAGTTTAAATAGCGCTGGGTTTCCTGAATAAATTGAGTACCCAATAAGGGTGGCAACCCCTCTAGAGATGCCAGCCGCAATTCCCACAGGACTTCAACAAGCTCTTGTGTCACGGGTCATTCTTCATCGTCCCTGTGGCAATATGTCTGATCTCGAAAGCGGCGTCCTTTAAATAGCCCTCGGTCCTTGCCGCAAGGAGAATCAAAATAGTCGAGCTTCGTCCTGGAAGTCATTTGTCTCCCGCTTCGTCATTCGATGAGAAGCAAGGATGATCGATTGTACACATAGTCGTCTCTTATTTCCTCTTACTTTATCTTGTATTAACTTCCTTATCTATACTTTTCTTTCCATCCCCCCCTCCACCTATCTCTGTCATCTCGTTATTATCATCTCTCTATTCTCTTTCTGACGCAGGGTCGGATTCCAAGGGCGACAGTGTCTTTTGAGATCCATATGCGACACTCAGAAGCAACGAAGTATACATAACCATAACGGAGTCCTTGGGGACATTTTACGTATAATACTAACGTAAGTATACCTTGACAAAGTTTATCACTAGAAAAAGTTACTAGACATTTATATGTATACCTTTAAGATAATATCTAGGGGGGACCACGTTCCTAATATGTGAATCTTATTAAAATTTTTTGATACTGCTGATAATATTCTCATACATATAAAAAATTACTAGCGTCGTCCTCTAATTGTATTCTTATAGAAAATTTACTAGGGTGATGATATATGTGGAGTACTAGTTATCAGTGTCATCGTACATGTGTAATGACATGGCTGTCCTTCATTTTCAGACCTTCATCTTCTGCTGACGAGGGTCTGTCCGAAGAGTATCTGAAGGCGGAGAAGGTTTCGCCGGAAGTCGAGTGTTCCACGTGGTATCCTGAATGTCCTGTTGGGATTTATGATTATATAACGATCGAGCATCTGTGAATGGACCTTAATCCTTTACTCGACATTGTTGCACCCGTTGAGCTGGATATTGTTGGATGTTTTGGTCGCCTTTCCTGTACCATACTGCTACCAGTATTTCCGGTGGAAGTGCTACCGGTGGTCCTATCACTAATACTACTGATGCTGCTTATGCTGTTACTATTACCAATCCTGATACCACTGTCGGTACTGTGGGCAACTCCCATTACAACTATTGGATGTGGATGACCTTAATTAAAGGAACCGTAATGGCCACCAAATGCTTGGTACCAAAGCGATTTACTTTAGATTTCAACATCAGGATTTGTAATTTCGTGGTTATGAATACTGGAACTTGTGTACCTTGTTTATATTAAGTTGGTCTGTTTAAAGCATTTGAAATAATGTGCAATGTAATTATTAAAATAAATTTTATGTTATACAGTGGTTACGTAAATTTTACACAAACGTTCAGAGCACGTTAGCTGTGCATATTTGTATTTTAGTAGGTAGTTCTCATTACGTCATATCCTTTCAGACCCAAGTGCCAATCACATCGAACAATCCCACGGGACACATGGGTTGGTATTTTGAACAGCTTCCATTTCTGCCAACGAACTCAGCTTCGAAAAAATCTTCGGATAAGTCATCTTCCTTCATTGAACTTGATGGTCTGGAATGATATTTTTTTTGTTAGTACAATTTACTTTTTTTTTCGTTCACTATGGTATAATCAGTACATAATATTTCGCGTGGAGTACAGTGTGGCATGTCTGGTTGGTTCATAAGAATTTCTTGAGCTTTTCCAACATCCACGCCGACAATACAATTTTGCCTCGGGGCCCTTTTCCTTATTCATACGGTCCTGCCTTTAGAACGTTCCCTATACTTATACTACCAATCGTATAGTTCATACGTAAGCTCACGAAGCTCAGAGACTTAACTTTTCACTTTTACTATACTCAAAGGAGCTTGGCAGGGTTCTCATAGAAATGAAAAAAAATTCACTTTTAATCTCTTTGAATACTCACGTGAACAACACGTGCATAATGTCGCCTAGTATACCGTTGTGTCTTACGGGAGATTCTGCAGTTTCACATATGGACCTCAGGAGGCATTCCCGTCCCGGAAATCCGGAACTGAAATTAAAAATGCAAACTCTTCGAATAGGGAATCTTATTTAAAAAGTATTTATTAAGGAACAGTTTATACCTCTCGTATTTATTTTCCAGTGCTTGATAAATCGTCGTTCTGTCTATGCTGCGTTTCTTTCGCGAAGCGTATGGAGAATAATACGGTTCGAAGTATGTCGAATTTGGCGGCAAACGGTAATTCGCCTCGAAGTAATAGGAAAGTGATACCGAATACAGAGGATCGATAAGCGGTATGGACAAGGCTAAAAATAACTTGCAAATAAATAATAAAATTAGAAAGTAAAAGAAGCGAAGAAGATACGAATAGATAAAAATATTAAAAAATAAAGTAAAACTATTGTACTCGTACTCACTCCCATGTTGCTGTTATCAGGAAATGACAATGCTCTTATCGGTCTGTGAAGTATCTTCGCAATTTCCGAATTTTCGGCCGTTTCGACATATTGAAAAATCAAAATAGCGTTAAGAAGAGCCAGGATTCTGGAAAGAATAAATATTTCTCGTTAAACCGTCAAATAAAATTATATTTTGCGAAAAATTTATTATTGCTCAAACATATTATACACCTACATTGAAATGTTATACATAATTTAATTAACGTGTAACAAATGCCAATAAAATTATGTAAAAATCACTATAAAACAAATCCCGGATGTTTACCACCGTTGGATACAGTTCAGACTGAGCTAAGAAAACGATCTGGTGGTTGAACAGTTATCAGTAGAGATTCGTTAAGTGGCGTGCACACAGAATCATTATGGTAATAATTGCAGTCATAGCAAAATGATACATGACAAGCTATCGCTAAGCATACTTAATATTCCCTGGTATCTATTGCACGTGTCAGTGGTAATACTAAAAGAGGATCATCGGCAGCGTATGGGAATGTCAATATTTGACTCTCATTAAAATCTGTACAACACAGCTTGTTAACGATACAAAAGTGCAGGTGAGTGAAATAGGTCAAATAATTGAAATTGAAAATATACATAAACTTTGAACAAACTTTTGATAAAGAGCAAGTATCGATTACTCTTGGGTAACTTATCAAAATACAATTATGATCTATCGCGCTTAAAGTATCCCTGGAGTCTTTAAGGATCAGGTAAGGGCCTGTTTGTTACACGCGGTATGTGAATCTGCGGAGACGCTGTTCACCCTGGAGCATGAACTGCTTGGCGAGATTCTCCAGACACTTCTAACGGCTTCCGGTGCCCCAGGAGAATTCGGAATTGTACTTGGATCTTGAATATCATGCTGCTGAGATACTTGGTCGTAGAGCATCGGCCGATGTTGCATAATATATCCAGAAAGCGAGTACAGTCCTTTGGATTATTTTATCGAGGCTTCAGCACTGATTTTATATTTGTTTCTAGAGATGCGTTTCAGCTGGACAACCCTGTATACACAGAGAGCTATCGCGTGGAAACTTTACCTCGTTTAAATTAAGTTGTTCTGTCTCTAACGTTTGAAATAAAATGCGATTGAATTACTTTTTACAAGAAGAGAAAAGTTTTTAAATAATTGCTGCATTGTTTGCCTTTAATTCCTTTGTTGTACAAAATATTTACACGGTGATTGTTCGAGAACAAGTAGAATGAGAAAACAAATTTGGTAACGATTACGTATTAACTACCTAAAGCACATAGTGTCACACCAGGTACATAAAAGTTATATAAACACGTCAAATGAGTTTGGGCGCATTTGTATTTCAGCAGGTAGTTCTCATTACGTAATATCCTTTCAGGCCCAAGTACCAATCATATCGAACAATCCCAAGGGGCACATGGGATGGTATTTTGAACAGCTTCCATTTCTGCCAACGAACTCAGCTTCGAAAAAATCTTCGGATAAGTCATCTTCCTTCATTGAACTTGATGGTCTGGAATGATATTTTTTTTTGTTAGTACAGTTTACTTTTTTTTTCGTTCACTATGGTATAGTCAGTACATAATATTTCGTGTGGAGTACAGTATGGCATGTCTGGTTGGTTCATAAGAATTTCTTGGGGTTTTCCAACATTCACAGTGACAATATAATCTTGCCTCAGGGCCCTTTCCCTTATTCATGCGGCCCTGCCTTCGGAACGGTCCTTATACTTGTACTACCAACCGTATAGTTCATAAGTAAGCTCACGAAGCTCATAGACTTAACTTTTTACTTTTACTATGTTCACACAAGCTTGCCAGGGCTCTCATGGAAATTTCAAATTTTTGTCCACACGTATTACCCAGGTTTCATTACTTTGGCTTCCCATGTTTTTGATTTTATCTCGACGTCAGCTCTTTGTGCCATTTTTAACCTCGCTGTGTAGTAAAGGTAATTTTAAAAAAATTTTATTTTCCATCAACACTGCATTACCATCTCTAATACGATTCCCCCATAGTCTACTGGGACTTTAATTATTTTTAAAATCATTCTTTAATAAAATGGAGTCTCACCACTTTCTTTCATTTTTAATACTCACGTGAATAACACGTGCATTATATCGCCCAGTATACCGTTGTGTCTTACGGGAGATTCTGCAGTTTCACATATGGACCTCAGGAGGCATTCTCGTCCCGGAAATCCGGAGCTGAAATAAGACATGCAGATATTTGGAATAGAAAATCTTATTTAAAAAAGAATTTGTTAAAGAACAGGTTGTACCTCTCGAATTTATTTTCCAGTGCTTGATAAATCGTCGTTCTGTCTATGCTGCGTTTTTTTCGCGAAGCGTGTGGATAATAATACGGTTCGAAATATGTAGAATTTGGGGGCAAATAGTAATTAGCTTCGAAGAAGTAGGATAGCGATACCGATTTTAGAGAACCAGCAAGCGGAAAGACCAAGGCTAAAAATATCTGATAAATAAATAATAAAATTAGTAGGCAAAATACATACAAGATAACAATAGATTAAGCTACAAAAAGAAATTCATACTCACTCCCATGTTACTGTTATTAGGAAATGAAAGTGCTCTTATCGGTCTGTGAAGTATCATTGCGATTTCCGAATTTTTAGTAGTTTCGCAATATCGAAAAGTCCAAAAACTCCCAAGAAAAACAAGTAATCTGCAAGTAATTATATCTTCGTTTGGCCACTACATAAAATTCTTTAAGTCAAATTCGACCAGTTCAAAACCGTTTTTTAATCACCTTGAAACATAATGCATAATTTAATTATCCTATTACTGCCAACAGCAGCACGTAAAAAGCACCATAAACTCAATAAACTCCAGAATGAACGCCACCATAAGAAACAGTCGAGAATGAACTCGGAAGACTTCCTACGTATGAACAGTTATCAGTCCCGTTTCGTTAAGTGGTCTGCACACAGGATAATTTTGGTAATAATTGACAAGCTCTTGGTAAGCATACCTAATACTTAGCAGAATAAACTCCAAGTGCCATCGTTACCAGAAAGAAGAAGATCTCAGTGCAGTATGGAAATATCAACTTTCCGTCTCTTATTAATATCCTTGACAATGGCCGCAAGTCAAAGCAGTGAGATACAAAATCTGTTGCGTCAAAAGCGTTACCTGGTCTTCCCAGACCCATTGGAGAGCGAGACAAAGGTGCAGGTAAGTAAAAGAAAATAAAAATAAAAATAAAAATTGACTTAAAAATTCAAAGTGAGTTCTATGTCACAGGTTCTATTCGGCCTGGGTTTACCAATGGAAGGAGCAGTATCGATGACACTTGGTTACGTATTGAAATGCAATTACGAATTACCATACAACGCATCGGTATTTACAAAAGGCTACGTGAGATACGATAGATCAGCCAGTTCAGCTAGTAATGATCTTATTGGTCCAGAGACGGAAGGTGAGTTTTGTTGTGTGATAAAAAATGAATAAATAACTTTTTCAATTGAATCACCAGGGAGAACTTCGCGCTGGGATATTTATCGTATGCTGGAAATTGCTCTGGAGTCTTTAGGATCAGGCAAGGCCTGTCTGTTACGTGCGGTATGTGAAGCTGCGGAGACGCCGTTCAACCTGAAGCACGGACTCCTGGGTGAGATCCTTCAGATACTTCTAACGCCTTCCAGTACCAAGGAGAATTCAGTGCTGTACTCGGATCGCGAATATCATGCTGCGGAGATACTCGGTCGTGCAGCATCCGGTCGATGTCACAGGGTATACCCGGAATGCGAGTACAGTCCTTTGGATTATTTTACTGAAAGACTTCAGCACTGACGTTGTATTGTATCGTTGTATTTCTTCCTGCACCGATTCCACATACGATCCGACGTATGTAAACCAGAAAATAATTGTGTATTGATCTTGCCAGCTAAAAATAAGAATAAAAATTTAATTCAAAAGGCACAACTTGAAATATGTATACCCCTTCTAGGTGTAATATCGTGAAATTTAGTATGGAAGGAAAAAATGATAATGTTATTTAACGTACCGTAAGAGTGAAGTATCTCTTTGAAATATAGACCGAGTATATCATCTTATATACAGAGCGATTCATCTTAAACGTACCGGTAAAGCTCCACCTAAAAGAGCAGAATATCATTTATTAAAATTAAAATGAAATACACAGTAGACTCGAGGACCTGTATGAAGGCTTATAAAAGAATTATAATATATTATAACTAATGCATATCTCTTAGAAAAGAATTCTAGTAAACATGGAGTACTTCAAATAAATACCTTATGTCAATTTCAATAGGTGCGTCTATGCTGGATCACCCTGTATATCACAGGAACTCTCAACGCGATATTTCGTAGGATTAGGAGAAGACGAAGATCCGTAGCAGTATCACAATGGGATGAGAGTAAAGATGATCCTGCTGCTGTTGGTAGTATTGGCAATGTCACGGATTCGTCATGAGGTCACTCGCGTTGGTAGCAGTGAATCTGCCGGGCTTCGAAATCTAGAGTGAAGAAGTTTACGTAGATAACATAGAGTGAGGAGTAAGATACGGTCAGGTGGGATGAAGAAGGAGATGTCTATAAGAAGTGAGGTTAGGTTTCCTATCGTCAGATCAAACCATTTTTAAAGCGTTTCAGTCATTTTTCATTCGTCTCCGGTAGGACGTTCAATCCCTCGTTAACTCGACGCTTCCTGAAACTCTGACACCCTCAGTTTCCCCGAGTTTCCTCAACTTTTCTACGCCCTTCCCCAATCCCGTCCATCTATCTAAACACCTGCCAACCGTCCCAGTCTAAAACACTCCATTGCTTAATTCCCTAGGGGATCCTTTGGGGAATTATTATCGGACCCCGTTCATTTTTCGAGACCACTGTCATTTTTCATCCTGTGACGTTACTAGATTTAATGACAGTTTTAATCTCTCGTTTACCCTTTCTTTTCATCTCTCTCTCTCTCTCTCTCTCATACTTCGCCGACCTCATTTTAACATCCGAGTCGTTCCTAGTGCCTTACTTGGGAAACGATGAGATTCCTGTCTGTCAAAAATTATGCAAGACCATATAGAACGAAATTTTTTGGAACTGACCATTTTATTTGTTTTTTTTAAATATTTTTATTATTTTTAGTGTCCTTCTTTTCTGGGGACTTTAAGACAGCCTAGGGATACTTTTTTATAAGAGAATATGACAGGCGTAATTTTTTTAACTCCTCATTTCCGCCACTCACGTTTACTCGAGATTATGCTAATTGACTTATGTCAATTAACGACGTTTAACGAAGAGACCCCAACTTGAGTTGAGCTAGAGCAGTTCAGTCAGTGAGAAATTCAACAGTCGAGATCTCTTCAGCGAGTATCGTTAAGGATGTTAGGGACTTTGAAAATATTTACGTTGCTTGTAATGGTGTATATAGAATTTTTTAAAATTACCTCAGCGAACCGTACCCAGAGGTATTTGGTACATCCGCCACCGGGTCAATTCGCCCCGACGAAAGTACAGGTAAAAACGGATAAATGAAATTTGAAAAGGATTAAGAATAATAAATACTGGGGATATTTTTTTTAAAATAAAGCTCATCCTCGGTCTGGGTTTACCGATGGAAGTGGACGTCAGCACGATTATTGGTTACGTCATGAAATTCAATTACAAGCTACCATACAATGCGTCATACTTCACGAATCCCTATGTTCGATATGATCGATCGACTGGTTCAAATATAATGGCGGGAAAAATTGACGTGGAGAAGAAGAATTCAAAGTCGAAGGACGACTCGAGTAAGACGATCCTTATACAGATATTTAATAATTTTTTTTTGCGAAAATCTGTGAAATTTAGGAAAATTAATTATTACGTACCTTCCAAACTTTTCTTCAACTACTTTGTCCTTGCTCTACGTTGGCGCACGTTCTTCAATGAGATTTATAGAATTGGAGTTATTTTCTGAAAATAAGACTTAACGTTAGTGGCTCTGGGTCGGCCGCTAATTCCCTTTTACATATTTATGATTTCGGATTGTATTTTATATCCATTACTGGTATCATACGATGAACGAAAATCCCAGCGTGATTTCTTTTACTTTTTTCTATTTCTCTTTCGTTCTTTCTATATGGATTACGTTTCTATCTCATGTAGAAATCCTTCTCTTTCGAAATGCCACTCTACCCTTAAGACATTGATGCATTTTTCTTATGGCATCTAGATCTAGATAATATCTGTATCTAGATAATTCTATTCATCTAGTTTTTGGATAACAATAATTCCCTATATGCTTTATGTATAGGATCTCAAGGATATGAGAACTATCAAGGATATAGCTCTCGTTGGGAAGTATACAAACTCGTAGAATCCTTTCTCGAGTCATTTAATTCAGGAAAGTCCTGCCTGTTAAGGGTAGTTTGTCAAATAGCCGAAAATCCACTGGACACAAGACACAGCCTCTTGGGACAGATGTTACAAGTATTATTAACGTAAGAAAATTTTACTTCGCCTCTGAAAAAATAAAAATATTTCAAGAGACATAAAAAAAAATTAAAACAAATAAAACAAGCTGCCATTTCGAAATTTAAAAAATTCCAAACTTCCATACAGTTATAAAGTTTCATGAAATTGCACACAGGTATGCGACAGTATGAAATTTTCAAGTAAAAATTCTGAAGCATCCTTATTCAAGGGGTCCTGAAGAATTTTGGTAAAGACGAAATTACCCCTTTAATATATATTAAGGCAGGTCGAGAACATTCGATTAAGAACGTAGCAAAGACTCTTCTAATAATTAATAAACTTACGAAACTATTCATGACCCGTGAGGCGTGTTTGAAAATGTTCATAGTTTCAAATAATCCGGGGATTCCCCGGTTATCGTTGCAGACCCACGTCGACGCGCGAGGTCTACGCCGATATCACGAATCAGGAATATAAATGGGCAGAGGAAGCAGGACGCGAATATCCTGGACAATGTCGGCAAATGTTCCCGGAATGTAGTGCCGATATTCTTGATTATTTAACGGAAATACACTAGAGAGGGACATTCATTTCTGTAATGGCCGATTAGCCCAAACTGCAGGTTGCGGCTTATACTGGATGCATTCCAATTTACCTTATACCGAGTTCACCTGCATCTATTTATGCGCCTGCATTTAGTAGGCGGATTGTGGATAAATTTCTAATGGACGCCGTAAAGTGAATCGGTTGTCATTCGATTTATGGGATTTCGAAGTATGTCCTACATAGAGGTCGCCTAGATAGGGGATAGAGCATATACGGTATTATCCTGAAATTAAAGATAACTTCTATAGCAATCGGTGAATCCGGGGGG